TTTATTGGTGCCCCAGCCCTCGGTAAAGCATATTTCAAGTCTATGCTGCTAAACCCCAAAGAAACCAACGCCTTCCTTACCCCCCCCCGATGGATTGGTTTTTGAGTTTGCCAGACACGTAGGCGCGCTGCGTGGGGATAGCTACATACTGAAACCTCACGAGTTGAGTGATGTTGGATAGTGCCAAACACATAGACGCTTTGAGTCAGGATAGCTGCATATTGAGACCTAACGGGTTGAGTAACGTTTGCGACTGCCGGACACATGGACGCATTGAGTGAAGCAAGCTTCAGACTGAAACCTCACAGGTTGATTTGTAATGGAGGTTGCCGGACACATACACGCGTTGAGTGAGGATAGCTGTCTACTCAAAATCAAAATCCACAGTAGCTATAGTGAGGGGACAATTCGAGAATGCAGTACACATAGGCCCGACCCCCAACACGTTCCCGAACCCCCCCTGAAAAATAGAGGCCCTGCGCCCCCCCCCCCTCTACCTCCCCCAGAGGATGAGGAGGGTACAGTCCAAAGTAAGCACAAGCTTACCTAAGGTTAATGCCTATTGGTACGGCATTAAAATAAATACTAAAGTCCCCCACTGGGCGGTGGAGGGCTTAGCGCTAAGACACCCCAAAACTCTCCGGCGTGAGATCCAAAATGGATCGGACGGTGGAGGGGGGGGGGNTTCGAGAATGCAGTACACATAGGCCCGACCCCCAACACGTTCCCGAACCCCCCCTGAAAAATAGAGGCCCTGCGCCCCCCCCCCCTCTACCTCCCCCAGAGGATGAGGAGGGTACAGTCCAAAGTAAGCACAAGCTTACCTAAGGTTAATGCCTATTGGTACGGCATTAAAATAAATACTAAAGTCCCCCATTGGGCGGTGGAGGACTTAGAGCTAAGACACCCCAAAACTCTCCGGCGTGAGATCCAAAATGGATCGAACGGTGGAGGGGGGGGGGGTGTTCGTTGCTTGAAGTGGATCGATAAAACATAGAGCCATCAAAGCAAAGCTTATTACTCACGTCGAGCAAGCTGAACGACCGGACCAACCACGCAAAAACTGCGGAGCTAGATCTGCGGTACGCACAATGCATTGTTTTCGATTGGAGAGAGGTGAGTATAAAGCAGTAANTACTTGTGCCAGGACGTGTGGACTTGGGTCTAGACTACGAGCCTATGTTGGAGGCGCTATTTAGCGTCGGTGAGCCGGCAAAAGAACTGAAAGGAACCACAATCCCCGCCGGACGCTCGGATTGGGAAGGCCGAGTATTCCGTATGCCTTCCTGAAAAAAGACGAAAAACAAGTGGCCACGGTCCAGTTGCCGTAGAGATCATGAGGATGGTGAAGAAGCTTGGAGGATGGAAGCAGAAACTGTGGAAGGGAGACAAGTTGGAGCTGCTGCTGTTTGGGATTCCAAGGGACATGACGAGAATAGAGNATGAGAAGCTGGACGTTGGTGTACGCCCCATCCCGGCGTGTGAGTAGGATCTTAGGCTATGCAAGTCGTCCCTGAACTTATTGTGGTGAAAATGACCTCCCAGGAGGAAAGTAGCCTGTACCGCGGGACTTCGGAGATGATCAATTGGGTGGTCGGGGGACGTCTGGATGTTTACTAAGCAGAGCGCCCGGCACAAGACTGGGGTACTTGTGTCAGGAGGTGTGAACTTGGATCTAGACTACGAGCCTATGTTGGAGGCGCTATTTAGCGTCGGTGAGCCGGC